GTGGATCACGAGGTCGAGAGATCAAGACCATCCTGGTCAACATGGTGAAACCCCATCTCTACTAAAAATACAAAAAATTAGCTGGGCATGGTGGCTCGTACCTGTAATCCCAGCTACTCAGGAGGCTGAGGCAGGAGAATTGCCTGAACCCAGGAGGCGGAGGTTGTGGTGAGCCGAGATCGCGCCATTGCACTCCAGCCTGGGTAACAAGAGCGAAACTCCTTCTCAAAAAAAAAAAAAAAAAAAAAAGTTTCCTTGCACTACTAGCTTGCCTAGCTATCTTTACCTTGAATAGCTGTTGAACTTTACAGTTTTTTGGTGTCTCTTGAAATGCTCATATATTTTTCTATTAAAGAAAAAAATGCTAATTCTCCTAATTATATTTATTGTTTTCTGACGTCAAAGCAACCTGATTGATATCGTTTGGCTCTGTGACCCACCCAAATCTCACATTGAATTGTAATAATCCCCATGTGTCAAGGGTGGGACCAGGTGAAGATAATTGACTCATGGGCGTGGTTTTCCCCATGCTGTTCTCATAATGGTGGGTGAGTTCTCGGCAGATCTGATGGCTTATAAGGAGCTTCCCCCTTCACTTTGCTCTCATTTCTTCGTCTTGCTGCCCTGAGAAGAGGTGCCTTCTGCCATTGTAAGTTTCCTGAGGCCTCCCTGGCTGTGCAGAACTGTGAGTCATTAAACCTCTTTTCTTTGTAAGTTACCCAGTCTTGTGTATTTTCCTGGGAGTGCACAGTCTACACCACATTCTCTAAAGCGGTGTTGTCCACTAGAAATACTGGGCGATACACACGTGCAACTTTTGTAACTTAAAAAGAATTAGAAAAAACTTGATGAATATGACATAGATGCAAGAAAAACACCGTTTTTAAGTAATATTCACGCATTTATGAAATCGATTGAAGAGTAACAAAATGGATAGACAGGAAATATCACGGACCTAGAATGAATTGGTTACCCCTGTGGAACTGAGGAGCTAGGGTGGCTCATTATAAAACTCCCTTAGACAAGACGACTTCTGATAAATTTTTCAACTTTCCCCCCCAACAAAATCCCGTCTTCTCAGGTATTTATTGTCTGTCCACTAAATAAGAGGTGATGTCACCTTTTCTGATGATCACAACAGGCTTTTCAAAAGATGTTTGCCAATTAACCCCTTTGTGCCTGGGCTTTCTCATTTGTAAAAATAGTACTTTCTACCTCTAAAGTGTGTGGTGAAGACAAACAATTGGGGTGATGTATACTAAAGTAACGAAAGTGCTTACCACACAGGAGGGGCTGGTTAGTGTTCGATTCCCTTGTTCTTCCCTCGGTATCTAAAACAGATCTAATTTAGCTTTGCATAAAGGCAAAGTATCAAGATAAGGTGACTCACAGTAGTACTAACACAATATTTGAACTAAGGTTTGCACTTCTAATGCATGAAAACAACAAAACATGTCAATAAATAACAAAAAGCTTGGAATTCAGACAACAGATTCAATCTGGGCTTGATCTCAAGCTAGTGTCTTGATGTTGAAAAAAATGTGATTTGGTCTTTCTAACCCCATTTTCTTATCTAAAATTGGGGATGATGATGAATTCACTGATATTAAGAGTTAAATGAGATTCTTGAGGAATCAAGGCGGTTCTGACATATGCAGGTATTATTAGCAGCCATACTGTAGCATAAGAAAATGCCATCTGCTGAAAGAGGGACAATAAGGTTATCATCATGATCATGTAAAAGCTACCAGATATAGGAAGAAGGGGCCATAAAATGATAATGCAGGTGATTAATTTTGATGCTTAGGTCGGAGTTCATTCTAGGATATCTCCTGCCTGAAAAGAACAGAGTCCAAACATTTCTTTGGACTCACAGGACACTGAGTGAGAGGAAAGAAAAAGAAAAGAAATGTTTAAGTCACATATGTGATTTTTAAAAGCAAAAAACAGACGAAATTAATAGTTTTTTTAATCCAGTATATCCCAAATATGGTTATTTTAGCATGTAATCAACATAAAATATTTTAATAAGCTATTTCACATTCTCTTTTCCTAGTGTTTGAAATTTGGTGCATATTTTACACTTACGGCACATCTCAATTCAGACGGTCCACATTTCAAGTGCCCAGCGGCTGCATGTTGCTTGTGGCTACCATACTGGACATCACGGGTCTAACGATTTCATTCCTGGCACAGGTCCTAACCTTAATTTTGAGTGTTTTTTTTAACAAACTGGCCTCTGTTTATCATTCCTCTAGTACTTCCCCAAGGATGATTGTACCCTCAGCACTCAAGACCACACTTGCTGTTCCCCTACACACTTTTATTCAAGCTGTTTCTTTCACCTGGAATGCTGACTTTGCACCTTCTTTCCTGTACCTGGTAGAAAGGCACATGTTCATTTTTGTTGTTGTTGTTGTTGTTGTTGTTTTGTTTGTTTGTTTTTTTGAGACGAAGTTTCACTCTTGTTGCCCAGGCTGGAGTGAAATGGCCCGATCTTGGCTCACTACAACCTCTGCCTCCTGGGTTGAAGTGATTCTCCTGCCTCAGGCTCCCGAGTAGTTGGGATTACAGGAATGTGCCACCATGTATGGCTAATTTTGTATTTTTAGTAGAGATGGGGTCTCTCCATATTGGTCAGGCTGGTTTCAAACTCCCGAACTCTGGTGATCTGCCCAACTCAGCCTCCCAAAGTGCTGGGATTACAGGCATGAGCCACCGCGCACAGCTGAGAGGCACACATTCTGCTAAGAGCTTTATCCTGACTCCCCTAACCCCAAAAGGGATTTGTCACTCCTTAGCCTTGTGCTCATGGCTGGATTAGAGTGAATTTAATTTGAGTTTAATTGTTTTTGAGACTATCTTCCTGGATAGTGTAATGTCTTATTCATCTTTGTTGTGATCATGGCCTGTGCCTAATAAATAATCAGTAGATATGTTTGCAGACAGAAAGTAAACCACTTATCAGGTGTATTCAGTCCCTTTCTTTCTTTTTTTTCTTTTTGAGACAGAGTCTTGCTCTGTTGCTAGGCTGGAGTACAGTGATACGATCTTGGCTCACTGCAATCTCTGCCTCCCACGTTCAAGTGATTCTTCTGCCTCAGCCTCCCAAATAGCTGGGACTACAGACGTGGGCCACCATGCCCAGCTAATTTTTGTATTTTTAGTAAAGAAGGAGTTTCACCATGTTGGTCAAGCTGGTCTCGAACTCCTGACATCAGATGATCCACCCACCTAGGCCTCCCAAAGTACTGGGATTACAGGCGTGAGCCACCATGCCCAGCCTTCAGTCCCATTCTTGAATGGGTTTGCTGCTTCCTTTTTGAGGAGAATTGTGTATGTAGTCTTATGTGTGTGTGAGCAAACAGCATACACACAAAAAAAGAATTCATCTCACACAGACTAACAAAGAATTCATCTTACACACACTAACAAGGAATTCATCTTACACACACACTAACAAGGAATTCATCTTAGGATGTGCACAGGAAATATCTTGTACCTTCACCCTCTTTGTGATCTTACACATGGGAAAACTGAGGCACAGAAATAAGTTAGGATGGCCAGCAAACTTGCATCAGTATAAATACAAGGAAGGGGAGGGAGTATTCAAGAAACAGCTTGAACAAAAGTGTGTAGGGGAACAGCAAGTGGTCTTGAGTGCTGAGGGTACCATCATCCTTGGGGAAATACTAGAAGAATGATAAAGAGGCCAGTTTGTTTAAAAAAAAAAAAAAAAAAAAAAACACTCATTCTTGCAAGGGCTGTGATGGTCTCAGAGGGTTAGGCTTCTCAGATGGCTGGGCATCAGCTGGCCATGCTTTGCTTATATGATTGGAGGAAAAAGAAGTGGGAGGTGAGGAGTAACTCCTGGGCCCTGATGAGTATTCAAGCCAAGTAGAGATCTGGAAAGCCTGTACACAAAGGAGGAGCTCACTGCTGGAGAAAAAGCTGAAGAGCAGGATGGTCGCCTCAGATCATGAACAGTGCTGGCCTGAGGAGAGTAGAAGGAAGGGCTGGGGAAGCCAGCAGGGGAGCAAAGGAGTAAGCTTCAGCTGGGTGAAGATGTTCGTGCGGTGCATTATGTAAAATATACAAATTATTATTGGGAATAACCACATCTCAGCAGTGCTGGTTCTCAGTCTGGAGAATGGGAAATAGAAAGGATCAGATTCAGAGGAGGCAGCTTACCCAGTGTCACAGCATTTTAAACTCAAATGAAACCTAGGCCCTTCATGCCACACTCACCAGCCCCACCCACTTGTGTTGCAACCAAGGCCCCACTGTAGTGCTTAGGAGAGCAGGTCTCGGGCACAGTGCCAGGGCTGATTAATGTCTTCCTTACCGTTTTCCAGTGAGGGGCTGTGATTCGGCCTATTTATAGGGGCCTGGTCCCTTAATATTCTGCCTGGTGCATCTCTTGCCAATCAAATCAGTGCCGTCTGCAGTGTGATTGCTGCTTTAGTGGCACCAGGGAGAAGAGTTAATTAAACCCAATATAAATAGACTCTGCCCTCACTTTGCAATTCCAGGAGTGTTTTTCCTTCCTGTCCTCCACCCCCACATGCACCTCCTTCCTCTAAGGCCCCCTAAGCTCTTATCTAGGTGAGCAGGGCTGGACACCCCTATACCTAGAGTCACTAGCCACTGCCCAGTCTGTTCCAGGAGCAGACCTCAAATTCTCAGGGGTTAAAGTGAGAAGAACCCATGTGTGCACATTTTTTGTGCTTTTCCAGAACTGGGTACCATTTGGCAGTTGATCAGGCATCTCCCCAACTGCCCCATTTCCATCCCTTGGTTTTCAGCCTCTTTTTTTCTCTACAACTAAGATTTCTTTCTTATTTATCCAAGGTGGGGAGCTGAACTGAGACAGTGTATGGAAAGGGTGCCTGGCAGCTACCAAGCACCTTGTAAGGGGTCAGAAATGTTGCACCTTCTCTGAACTCCGTTGGCCCTACCAATTCCCCAGTCCCTGGTCCTGCCCTCCCGCTCCCTCATTCACTCAACAGGCGTCAGCAGACTCCCATCGGTGTGCTCCTGGCCTCCCACCAAATGCTGTGTCCCCTTCTCCCCGTTTGTGCAGGCTGAAGCTGTGTGCATGGTTGGGATGAGGGCTGTGTTGCCTCTCCTTCCTTTCTGAGGAGAATTGTGTGTGTGCTCTCGTCACTCCTTAGCCTTGTACTCATGGCTGGATTAGAGTGAGTGGGTGCAGGTGGGCATGGGCAGCTCTGATGCTCTGGATCCCACCCACAGGCACCATGACTCCTGTGAAGACTCAGCACTCCCTGGCAGGTCAGACGTATGCCGTACCCCTCATCCAGCCAGACCTGCGGCGAGAGGAGGCCGTCCAGCAGATAGCGGACACCCTGCAGTACCTGCAGAAGGTCTCTGGAGACATCTTCAGCAGGTGGGTGCTGCCACCCACCTCCTCCTCATCAGAGGACCATCCCTATCCTGGGCAGTCCCAGCAACATACCCTCTGGGAGCAGCCCCCTAGGGGAGATCCTGGTACTGGGGGACCCATCTGGCTTCCTTGTGTGGGAGGGGCTGAGGTAAGAGCCCAGCTTGGAAGGTTTTGCTCCTGAGAGTCTGAGAGCTCACTCCCTTCCACCCCACTTAGCCTCCTGATTTCCTGTGGTGGCTCTGCTCTCCTGACATTTTCTTCCTCCCATCTGGGGGGCATATTCCTTCACTTTTTCCTGCATCCAGCAAATACTTACCCAATAGTGTTTGTGTGCAAGGCATTGTAAGAATCTCTGTAGATCCAGCCATGGATAAGGCAGCATCCCTCTCCAGCTGGAGCGCACATGCTGGCAGGAGAGAAGGACCTAATAACCAATGCATGATTCGTTCTTTAGTAACAGTTGTGACAAGGCCTGTTGATAATATTTGGTAATCACTGTGATTTATATAGCATTAACCGTGCACCACCGTTGATTTGAGTGCATTAACTCATTTAGCCCTCGCCACACTTCATGAGCAGGCACTGCTGTCATCTCCATTTTATAGATGAGGAAACTGAGGCACAGAAAGGCTGAGAGACCTGGCCAAGTGACAGAGCCAGGGTTCAAAGCCACAGATCATGGCCCCAGGTTCTGTGGGTTATTACCGCCTCTGTGGAGGGGAGATGGGGTGCTGCGAGGCTCGTCCTGGCTTGGTCTTGGGTCAGGGAGACTGGCTTGGTCTCGGGTCAGGGGAAGTGGGATGTGAGGAAATGACATTTGTGGTAAAGTCTGAGGGTTGAGTTGGGTAGGTCAGGAAGAAAATTCCAGAAAGAAGAAGCACATGAACTGTAGCCCAGAGGCAGAGGACCTAAAAGAAAGCCAGCATGGCTGGAGCCCAGAGCGGCCATTGAGCGAGCCGAGTTGGAGGGCTGAGGCTTCCTGTGTCAGCAGCGCTGACCTCGCACAGTCCTTGGGCTCTGGTGACTTTTCACTCAGTGTTTACCTGATATGAGTGAGTGAGTGATTTTTGCTGTTTCCTGGCAAAGGTCCCAGCGGTTGTTGGATGCACAGGTCCTGTCTTTGGCCATGAACAGCCTGAAATGAGGCTTGGTCTTCTTCCCGGGATCCCACACAGTGCCTCACATGGTGGACCCCAGTGGGAAGCATGTGACTGCCTGACTCAGGTCCCGCACATGGTCCAAGTCACCCCTGCCCTGCCCTTCCCTGGTTGTTGCCAGACCTGGAGCGCCTGATCCTTCACTGTGCAGCCTCCTCTTCTGTCGCCAACTGGAAGCTTACCTCTTCCTGAATGACCTCCCCCACTGACTCACCGGCTTGCCCCAAGCTTGTCAAGAATGTCCCTGTAACCAAGGGGTCATGCACTGCAGTGGCTGAGGGGTCACCTTGGAGCTGATGCCTTGGCTCAGATCTGGCTTTCCTGGTTGCTTCCTCTGTAACCCTGGACAACTCAACCCCTCTGTCTGTGAACTTGTGGTAATAATGGTAGCTTCCTGGTAGAATTATTTTAAAGACTAAATGAATGAAAACATGCAAAGGAATGGAACAGTGCCTGGCACCTAAGAAGATTTGAGGAAATACTAGCTCTTCCCTGTTGATAATCTTGACCTGTCCACTGGACTCGGTTGCCATTCATGAACCTGTCATCAGTAGTTACAGAAATTGTTGGATGCACCTTTCGTGCTTATCATTGTGATAAATGTGCCCAAGGGACACCTAGGCAAGAGGATGCAGGTCTTAAAGAGCCATCAGCTCCAGATTATGGCTACTCCATGTTCAGTGCTTAGAACGGAGGCCAAAACCATTCCCTCAGAAACTGTGTTTCCTCACCAAGATGGGATTGCATGGTTGCCCTTCTCTGAGGGCAGCCTTGGATTTCTGGTGTCTTTCCTTTCCCGTCCTGGTACTTGGCACCTTGCAGACAGTTGCATGTCCCCTGCCCAGGGATGGGATGAGGAGAGGGCAGGAAGGCATCTTCTGGGGAGTGGAGTGCTGCATTCGTTGAGTGTGGGACCCTCAAGTTGCTGGCACAGCCCAGGGAGGGGAAGATGCTTCTCAGGAGCACTGGGCCTGAGTCCCGGCTCTCTCACGCCACATTCCAGGTCACTGTGTCGATCTCTCCACCATGTGCTCCACATCATGCTGGATCTTTAAGAGACATCAGTTATGTGGCTGACACTGTGTCCTCAAAGAGCTTAGAGGCTGGAATGGGAACATGTAGGGTGAGATTAATTGTTAATTGTGTAGCATGGACCATGTGGGCTTCTCAGGGTCTAGAAGGGAGAGAAATCAGTAAGAATTGGTGGCACACCTGTCAGAACTCCCCAAACCAAGCTAAGCAAATAGTAACCAGTAGGGCAGCCTTTAGAGTTAGGGCTAAAATGACGTCATCAGGGCCTGGCTTTGCTTTCCTTCCTTGTCATTTTGCTTCTTTGGATCTGGCTGCATTCTCAGACAGGCCATGCTCTCGTGGTGGCAAGGCGACATGGCAGGGTCAGTTTCAGCAGGAAAAAATGCTCTCCTGTGTCCCCCACTTCCTCTAGAGGCCACACTCACCTGGATTGGTCCTTGTGTCTGTCCCAGAATCCATTGCTGGGGCCAGGGGACTATGACATGCCACTTGGCTTAGACCAAGGAGCTCTTCAAACCACCCACTTGAAGCTCAGGGTGTAAGCCTGCAGGAGAGGTAGATTCCCCAAAGGAAACGGGGCCATTGCTTGAGTAAAGGGGAAATAGGTGCTGGAGAGAAAAGCCGCGTGCCTCCTCCACACAAGGCAGGCTCCTGGAGGAGAAAGGCAGGGTAGAGAGGTAGGCGTGCAGGTTGCCCTAATGGGGTCTAGAAATGGGGGCCACAGGCTTGGAGAGAAGCCTCAGTGTGGCTTGGAACGTGGTATATGATGGTCTGCTGGGAAGGCCGGCCTGCACAGGGGCTGGAGGGGAGCACAGGCAGTGCTGCCTCTCCCTTGCACTCAGCTCACAGGGCATGAGAGGCTCATTTCCCATGAGCCTGTGGGCCAGGCCTCTGGATGGTGCCGAGGAATTTTGCCTTGGTTCCTCCGTGTCCCCACGGGGCCATGGGAGACTCCCTGGCAGTGTGTGGGGCAAAGGAATGAGCGAAAAGTTGAGATGAATGAGTTAGGGTCCACGGAGTACTCAGGAGAGGACTTACGTTGATTCAGGAGTGTTAGGGAGCAGTGACTGGGTTTCAAGCAGGGCAGGGGTGGGACAGAAGAGTTGGGGAAGGTTCATCAGGCACCCGTCACGGAAGGGGCATGAAGAGAGAGTGGATGCCAGGGACACCCAGAAGCTGTTGCTGTAGTCAGGATGTGGCAGGGATGAGGCTGCAGACAGGGGACCTGCTACTGAGGAGGGCCAGGTGAGACATTCAGAGGAAACGGACGACATGAAATGGTGACAGATAGGGAACGATGATGAAGGAAAGGGAGGAGTCATGATGAGTGGGAGTGGAGTGGGGAGCACCGACACCTCCCCTCCTCCACCTGCCCTTTTTCTGTGGCGCTGGACAAGCATGTGGACTTTCCATTTTTCATGAGCATTTTTGGTGGGGATGTGACCAGCTTTGAATCTCTCCCCTTAAACATGCTCCTCCTGCTTAGAACCCTCCTGCACAGAAGAAACAGGTGGGTAGAAGAGAGACTCTCTCTCCCTCCCACCCCATCTCAGGCCCCAGCACAGCCCAGTCCCTGGCCTCACTGGTGCGTGTGCCCAGTGGCGCAGGCAGGTGACTGCCTGGCAAATTAGCATTCCAGGCTGTGCTCTCTCCTGCTCTGCCGCAGCCGGGAGTGTGCAGACTGGAGGGAATGACAAGCACCTCCCAGGCTCTCTTTAGCTGTGCCCCTTCCTGCCCCCTCTTTCTGCCCCTCCATCTGTCCCCTCTTCACCTGGGAGAAGCCAGGCCCCCAAAATATCGGGCCAGATATGTCACCTGCTTCCCATGACATAGATGACAAGGCAGGAGGGACTCGGGATGGCACGAGGAAGAGGAAGGAACAGACTGTGTGTGGAAGTTTGGATGCTGTCATTTGCCATTGCCGATCAGCCCCTGCCCCACCTCTTCACCCAAGAGGCCATGCCACTGCCCAGCACCTTTCCCTTGGGAAGCGTGATTTTCTCTGCAAAGCTCTGGGTCCTTTCCTCCATGTCTGTCTTTTTCCTTCTCCCCACCTCGTCTTCTCCCCTTCCGCTTTTCCCCGTTCCCCTCGTCCTCACTTCCTCCATCCTTCTCCCCTGTTCTCTCTACTGATTGGCACCTGGTGGCCCCCAAGGTTACACATTGCACTAGATCACTGCATAATTAACAAGTCGTTCTTAATTATCCCAGAGTGGAGAAGATAAAGGTAAAGGCAAGAGCACAGGTTCAGGATCTGCTTCCCTGGGGTCATGACAGGCAGGGGAGGAGAAGCAGTGAATTGGGAGCTGGAGTGGGAGCGGGTGCTCCCTGCTTCCTCCTCCCCACAGCCTCTAGGGACTGGTGTGCTGATGGTGATGGGCCATCATCAGCTCTTTGTCACCTTCACAGGAATCACATGATGTAGAAGGGACCATTCCTGTTTTTCAGTGGAAGTAGCTGAGGCAAAGACCAGTGAGTGGCCTCCCCAGGGTCGCGCTGCTGCTAAACAGACGTGAAACCCAGGCCTGTGGGATGCTGTGGTTATTGATGCTTATCTCTTACCCGGGAGGTCTGAGTCTCTTTGGGAGTGGATCTGTGTTGTCTGATTCGTCTTTGGCTTCCATGGCCCCAGCACTGTGCTTTCAAATGGAATGCACTCAAGATACTGAACAGTAAGGGGTGGAGTTGGGAGACAGGAATCAAGGGATGCTTGGAGATGGTCCTCTCCAGGGGAGATAGAGGAAGACGGACCCTTAGTGAGACCACGTGCAGAGCATCTGTCCCTGATGCCCACAAAACAGCTTCCTCTCTTGTGCTGGGTGAGTGTGCCAGAGGGAATGGCTTCAGCACTGAGCTTGTAAACTGACCTACCTTAAAGTAGGCCACCAAGCCAAGGGTGTCTACACCAGGAATGGCAAACAAATGGCTCTCATGGCACCATTCCCCCACCCTCATGGTTGGCATTGTTCATCAATGCCCTGGCCCCAGTGAGGCCTACAGGCCTTCCCAACACAGCCTCCCAGACCATCCTGCCAGTCCACAGAGATAGCAGACATGCTGAAAGCTTTCTGACCCTGAATCTGCACTTTTCCTCGGCACCGTGGCCTGTGACCATGAGATAATAGACAGTCCGGAAGCTCTGTCAGCAAGCATGCCGTTCCTTAGTCTCATAGGCTTCTGGTTAAGGAAAGAGCCCCAGGATCATGTCTTCTGCCTCCACCTCAGGGAGGATTCACCCTTGGAGCACCCTGCATGGTGCTTGTGAGCTGGAGCCTAATTGCTCTGCAAAGTGATGCAGTTGTTTATTAGAAAGTTGTTGCCATTTTTTTTAAAAACAGCACAGAGCTCTGTTTCCTTGCAACTCTGCCCACTATTCCTGATAGAAGTTTACTCACTTCACCCAACAGCCCTTTTGACATTTTTGATGCTTGAAGGGAATGATCATATTCTCAAAGTCATCTGATCTTTAGCCAGAACATCCTTCAGTTACCTTCATATGTCGGCAGTTTCTCACTCATCATCATCCTCATCACCCTCCTTGAGATGTTCGCTCATTTGTCACTTTCTGTTCAGCCAGTGGCTGTTACGCATCAGGCCCCGTCCCAGGTGCTAACGACGTAGCAGTGAATGAGACAGAGGGCAGTCCGTACGGGAGGTCAGAGTCCTCTGACTGTGGATCCAGTTTAAAGGGATGTGACTGTGGCTGAGACTGTGCCTGGCATAGACTCATTCACGAGTCCAGGGCCCTGTTTTCTGTGGTGCCTCCAAGAGACTGCATGGTCCCTGCTGAGTGGAAGAAGGACGAAGGGCAGAAGAGGAACAGGAAGCTGTGTGCCCTAAGAGCTCACTGCCTTTTTATGCTGATTAACATGCTTTTAGCTTCTACTGAGCTTATAGTTAACAGAAGCTTCCAGGTCTTTCTTCACCTGAACTGTGTCTAAACCAAGTTCCCTCCACCTTCTATATTTGTGCATTTGATTTTTAAACCCTAAATGTTGAGCTTTACATTTGTTCCCTATAAATGTCATCCTGGTGATTGCAGTCCCCCCTCTGGCCTTTAAAAATTATCTGAGCCTTGATGCCATCGTGCAGATCGTTTTACCCCTCTGTGCTAGCCCCAGTTTTCTAACTAGGGTGTTGAATGAATTGGAAGGGCCCTGCCATATTTCTCCATGCAAGGCTGGAATCAGACCATTGTTCAACAGTGCCCTTTGGGGCTGTGGTTCATTTGGCTCTGATTTTTCCCATATGTTCTCTCCTCCAACCCCCATAGCTCCATCTTGTCCACAAGGTTTTGTTAGAAGCCATCAGAATCCGTGCTGACTCAAGATGCACTGTGCTGCAAGTTTTCCCCGGGCACAGCAGGCTAATAACCCTGTTACAAAGAGAAATGCTGTGTGTTTTGAGCAATGCTGGCCCCTGGGACTCACCTCTGCCTTTTCTTTGTTTTTTGTTTTTCAAGGAATATTTAATAACAAGGTAGGTAACGTAGGCTTATCTAACATGGAATTTTATGTCACTGCTGCTAAAGCAAAACATCCTGTTCACTGGGCGAAAGACCTGCTTTATGTGTGTACACTTCAGTGCAATTAAAAAAAATACTGTAATTATAATTTCAGAGCTTCTGAATTTCAACAGCTGCCAGTGTTCTCTTTTTTCATATGGGAAAATTTCTTTGAAAATCATTTGAAGCTTGGACAAAAATTCCACAGCTGTATTCCTCAGGATCACTTTGCAGAGTCTTCAAGATCCAGATACAGAGGAAGCTTCAATTCAACCTTTCAGAGAAGACATTCCAGCTCGCATGATTTCATCAACCAAGAGAATGTTGGTGGCAATCACAGTGCAGGAGTGAAGAAGCTGTTTCTTTACACAATAGTTATCCCATACGCCTACTTCTGCTGCTACCATTGGCTCACCTGTGTTGAGGTCTACACCCACAAGCTGACCTGATTCTGAATGTTCTGCTTGAATTTTAACTAATGTTTCCTGAAGGTCAAAACCAGAGTTCTGAGCAAGAATCTTGGGAATAATAAGCAATGCATCAGCAAATGCTTGGACACCAAGCTGTGCCGTGCCCTTTACACTGGACTTATATTTCATCAGGGCTTCTGCCATTGCCACTTCACGGCACCAGCACCTGAAACCACACAGCCATTATCAATAGCATTTTTGACAACCCTCAAGCCATCCCTTACTGCCTCTTTGATCTGAGTGAGTGTGTGCTTATTTTGTCCTTTGGTCAATGATATGACAGAACGAGGGTTGTTACATTTCTCAATAAAGATGAATTTCTCTTCTCCCAATGTATACTCATATACAAGGCCTGAATGTCCCAAGCAGTCAGGACTTAGATCGTCAAAAGAATTCAGGGCTACCCCACAAAAGCAAGAGTCAGCCTCTCCATATTTCTCCTTTTAGCCCTGCGCAGAGCGACTATGCCTTCTTTTGAAAGAGTATCTGAGGAAAAGGAGTCAATTCCCTTTCGATTAATAACAACAAATATTTTATTTGAATCACCACAGACTTTCCTTTTCAGTTCTATTATTTTTTAATTCTATCTTCAGTGAATTTTCTTTCAGCTTTTACAAGTTTTTCTCTCTCTCCTTCACTCTTGTAAAAAAAAAAAAAAGCCAGAATTCACTTCTGTTTTTTCATATTCCAATGACACGTTACATGTGAGGATGTATGCATCTTCCACCCTTTTCTTCGTATCAGGATGCCGTGCTCCGTGGCCCAAAACAAGCCCTCTGATTAAGCTTGTGTCAGTTTCAGATTTATGTTTCACCTCCACGATCTCAATCATGAAGAGATCAACAGGCTCATCTTGTTTTTTAATGGCCAAAATGGAATCCACTACAGCCTCTGTTAAGACATCTGCAAGTTCAGCATGAACTTTAGTACAAAGAGATGTTCTGGCCGCATCTATGTTTCCCTGCCCATCTCTTTACTTATTTTGACTTTTTCCAAATACTGAAGGGCCTTTTCCTTTGCAGCTTCAAACCCTTCAGTAATTATTCTGGGATGAAGGCCTACAGAAATGTAGAGATCTGCCGGTTTCAGCAGCTCTCCAATGATTAGGACATTGGAAGTCGTACCATCACCAGTTATATCATCCTGGGCTGTTGCTACCTTTGCTATTCAGGAAGCTGTTGGGTGCTGAATTTGCATTTCGTGAAGCAGCACCTTGCCATCTTTAGTAAGCTTGATGTCTCCAGCGCCAGAAACAAGCATCTTCATGGTGCCCTTGGGCCCCAGGTTGGTCCTCAGCACGTCCTGCAGACCCCATGCCACGCTAATGTTGACTGCCAGTGCCACCTGTGCTCAGGCCAGGATGGCACCAAGTTCGGCCCTGGCAAGCAGGTGATCCTGACTTAAGAGCCCTTGCCTGAGGGCTGGCCTAGCAGGTCTGCTGTTAGGAGCAGGAGGTGTGCAGGGGTAGGGAGCAGTCCCAGCTTCTGTGATCTTCTCCATGGCAAGATCTCCCAGCGGGTAGAGCAGAGCCGGAGGCAGGTGCAGGCCATTGGGGAGAAGGTCTCCTTGGCCCAGGCCAAGATTGAGAAGATCAAGGGCAGCAAGAAGGCCATCAAGGTAGCCCCCATACCCGTGTCCTGAGGCTACTGGGCTGTCCCTCCATTTCTCCGTGCCTCTGAGGCTGCCCAGTCTCTGCCCTGCTGCCCACCCGTACCTTGGGCTTTTCTCCCGCCCAGGCTCCCAACCCCACCCTCTCCTGCCAAGCAAGCCTAGCCGTCTGAGCCTCTTGGGGCCCCTCAGACTTGTCCCTGTGTCCACAGGTGTTCTCCAGTGCCAAGTACCCTGCTCCAGAGCGCCTGCAGGAATATGGCTCCATCTTCACAGGTGCCCAGGACCCTGGCCTGCAGAGACGACCCCGCCACAGGATCCAGAGCAAGCACCGCACCCTGGACGAGCGGGCCCTGCAGGTCTGCTGGCCAGGCACATCACTCAGCCTGTCACACACCTGGAGGCCTGGATGCTGGGGACGAGCCCGGGCTGCCATAGGATTCTGTCCCGCAGAGGAGGCTGACTGGGAACGGGTGGCAGCCGATTTGGCCCAGCACTAAATACTCACTATCCCTTGGCCCCCCGGCCCTTCCAGGAGAAACTGAAGTACTTTCCTGTGTGCGTGAGTGCCAAGGCGGAGCCCGAGGATGACGCAGAGGAGGGACTTGGGGGTCTTCCCAGCAACGTCAGCTCTGTCAGCTCCTTGCTGCTCTTCAACACCACCAAGAACTTGTATGGCCAGAAGGCGGGGCCGAGGGGTGTGGGCGGGAGGCCCGGCCTGGCTTAGTGGGAACCGAGGGCATCAGACACAGATATAACACCGAGGCTGGGAGCCAGGGGGTAATTGGGTGGCTTGGCTTGGGAGGCCTGAGACCCCACTGTGCACACTGTGCCCCTGATGGTGTGGGAGAGGTAGGAATGTGGGCTCAGGACAGCAGGTGTCAGCTTGCCTGACCCCCACGTCGCCCCTGTAGGTACAAGAAGTATGTCTTCCTGGACCCCCTGGCTGGTGCTGTAACAAAGACCCACGTGATGCTGGGGGTGGAGACGGAGGAGAAGCTGTTTGATGCCCCCTTGTCCATCAGCAAGAGAGAGCAGCTGGAGCAGCAGGTGGGAGGAACAGGGCTGGGGTGGGGACAGGTGCCATGGCTGGGGTGGGAGGAACAGGGCTGCGGTGGGGACAGGTGCGGTGGATGGGGTGGGGACAGGTGTGGCTGGGGTGGGAGGAACAGGGCTGGGGTGGGGACAGGTGTGGTGGCTGGGGTAGGAGGAACAGGGCTGGGGGGGGAGAAACAGGGCTGGGATGGGGACAGGTGCGGTGGCTGGGGTGGGAGGAACAGGGCTGGCTGGGGTGGGGACAGGTGCAGTGGTTGGGGCCTTGCCAGGGCCCCTCTCCAGGCAAGACTGTTGAGCATTTTATTCCACCCACGTGGGGGTGCACACAAGGCCTTGCAGGATGCCCCTGCAGGTCTGTGTCACCTCTCACATGTCCCTACCTAATCCTGCAGGTTCCAGAGAACTACTTCTATGTGCCAGACCTGGGCCAAGTACCTGAGATTGATGTGCCATCCTACCTGCCCGACCTGCCCGGCATTGCCAACGACCTCACGTACAGTGCCGACCTGGGCCCTGGCATTGCCCCCTCTGCCCCTGGCACCATTCCAGAACTGCCAACCTTCCACACTGAGGTAGCTGAGCCTCTCCAGCCAGGTGAGCTGAGTGCTGGGATGGGAGCTGGGCCAGGGACCTCCCTGCTCAGACACCTTCTTCCCTAGACACCCCACACTTTCTCTTTCAGACCTAGAAGATGGGGTGCTCACAGCACCCCCACAGCCCCCACCACCTCCCCCAGCTCCTGAGGTGCTGGCCAGTGCACCCCCACTCCCACCCTCAGCCGTGGCCCCCCGTAGGCCCGGGCGCCAGGCAGGACGACGGCAGCGGCGCGCCTCCTTCAGGTGGGAGCAGCTCTCTGAGGACACCTGCTCGTTTCTGGTGTGCTCAGTGCACTCAGGTGGATTGTCTGTGGGTTTGTCAAGTGGTCAGAAATCCTGGATTGTTTTTAATAGTTCCCATTTCAAATGTCTTGTTCTACTTGGTTCACAAAATAGTGGTTTTCAAACTGTAGAGCTCTGGAATGCTCACCTCCTGGGCAGAGGGGGGCTGGACAAGTGAGGCTCTGGGTTCCCCATTCCGAGTTAAACCAATGGAAAGAAGAGGCCTCTTAACAAACTATGGAAAGAAGGTCTAATAACAAACTACAGCAACACATGATTCGGTGTCCCTGAAATGACAGCAGTTCAGCTTTACCGTTATACCTCCCATCTGTCTCTAGGATCCAGAAGTGGCACAAAACCCCTCTGCTGGCTCGTGTGTGCAGCTGAGACTGTCAGTGCATGGCTAGCTTGGGGGTCCAGCTCTGCAGGGTGGGGGCTGGAGAGGGGTAGGGAGTGTCTGCACACACATCGCCTGCAGTCAGGTGTTGCAGAAGTCAGTGCCCAGGTCCTGTGTGCCCAGGCCCCGCACAGTCTCCAAAGGCTCAGCATCCCCAGCACGGGCCGCCTCATTCGAGGGGAGGTGCCCTCCCTCCTAGCGGGCTTTTGGACATGATAAGCTTCGCCAGCCCTGCCTGAGCAGCCTTTCCTCCTTGTCCTGTTACCCACCTCCCAGCTCCAGTCCAGGGAGCTCCCAGGGAAGTGGTCGACCCCTCTGGCGGCCGGGCCACTCTGCTAGAGTCCATTCGCCAAGCTGGGGGCATCGGCAAGGCCAAGCTGCGCAGCGTGAAGGAGCGAAAGCTGGAGAAGAAGAAGCAGAAGGAGCAGGAGCAAGGTGAGCGGGCCCCGGAGCCTGCGGTTGGAGGGCCTCGGACAAAAGCGCTGCCTGTCGTCCGGCAGAGTCCACAGGGTGCTTTCTGCCCAGCCCCTGCTCCTGCCAGCCTGCCCCTGCTTCCCCTAGGGCACATGCTGGAAGCCCCGGGCCACCGCCCGAGGTCCTCAGCCCTCCTGCCTGGGCCATGGCTCCTTCCTGGTTTGGGAGCCTTAGTGGAGCTGTCCTCTCTAAGCCCAACCAGCTCCAACTGTGACAAGGAGAATCTTCCCTGACTGCCGAGGCTGGTCCAAGGCAATGGTCAGCCACCACGGCCTCCTGAGATATTTTTAGAGATGGACCTGAGGCCTCCTGAGGCTACCGGTAGCGCCTGCTGTGAACACAGACGCCGGTGTGATGTGATGCCTGCGCATGCTGCAGCAGTGCCCTGGGCACTGTGGTTCTGAGCTTGCGCCCAGCGCTGCTTGTGCCTTGCTCAGTGACCCCAGGCAAGTGGCCTCCCCTCTCTGGGCCAGTTTCCCCACCTGTGCAGCGATGCTGCCTACCCTGGCCCTGTCCCCGAGGGTGGCTGGGAGAGTGCTCCTCAAACGTAACCGCTTTCTCATCAGTGTCCAGTGTCGGGTCAGGGATAGACTGAAGCTCTGAGCTAACTGGGAAACAGTGGCCTTGGAGGGCTGGGGAGTGTCGTGAGGGTGCGGACAGGGAGCTGGGGTTTCATGTGACTGAACCCTTCACTCTGGCTTTCCCATTGCAGTGAGAGCCACGAGCCAAGGTGGGGACTTGATGTCCGATCTCTTCAACAAGCTGGTCATGAGGCGCAAGGGTAGGAGGCAGGGCCGCTGCCCGCCCTGGGCCGGCACATTGTAATTCTCTCCTGCCTTTGTCTTCCTATGTTTAAGTCTCTGGGGGCTGGGGGAACCAGCGTTTCCCACCCACCACCCTCACTCAGCCTTTTCCTTCCAGGCATCTCTGGGAAAGGACCCGGGGCTGGTGAGGGACCCGGAGGAGCCTTCGCCCGCGTGTCGGACTCCATCCCTCCTCTGCCACCACCACAGCAGCCCCAGGCAGAGGAGGATGAGGACGACTGGGAATCCTAGACTTGGGCCATTGCTCCAACCTGGACACAGCCAGGACAAGCTCCTCAGACCTGCTGCCCTAGGAGGGGGCGGTGATGGAACTGTCCCAGGACTGTGCGGGGACCACCTTCAGGGAGCAAGAGGCTGGCCTGAGGCCACAGGGCTGGGGCGGGGGCTTCTGTATGCCTGTGCTCCACCGGGGGACGGCTCCACCCAGCCTGAACCAGGGTGTTCTCCTCTTCCCTAAAGAGGCTTCCAGAAAAAACAGCAGCACAAATCGAAGAAGAACTGAGCAGAAACCAAGAGTGCACTTTTAATAAAGGACCACTGGCTGTGCAGGATGCAAACGTCTCGGGGTCAGTGACTCTCCTCCTGCCCCTGTTGGTCCCTAGGCGGTGGGGGCAGAAGATCTCAGCTGACCATGACCCATTTCCCTGGGGTCAAAGGAGGAGAGGTGCAGTCAGCAGGGGCAGCTGTTGCAGGGGGGAGGGGTAGTCTCCCACAGGAAAAAGCTTTCAGTGGCAGACACGGGGTCTCTAAAAATAGTCATGCTGAGAGCCGAGTAGCCTTTGGCATCATTGCTGGTGTCAGTGGTAGAAGGTGTCTTGGAGTTTGCTCAAGTGGTTGAGAGGGAGTGAGGTGCCATCGACTTGCAGGAAGTGGCACCAAGCCAGGGAGATAGAAATCCAGGGAGGGCTGTGGGGCACGTTGGGGGGGCAGGGCTGCAGAAGGAGTGACTCAGGAAGAAGGTGGGGGAGGTGACAAGCCCCCAGGCAGGAGCCTTGTGGCCTTGGGGACCTTTCTAAATTGAGACTAGATGGTGAGTAGTCCAGGGCAGCTAACTTCAGCTATTATAAAATGGGCAGAAGCAGATGGGCCTGCTCCATCTCGCCTCTTAAGGTGGTCAGGACAGAAATGCCACAGTAGAGGCTGCAGCCCCCACAGCCTCCTGCAGAGGCCCAGCGAGAAGCCTGGCCCTCGGCCACATGGGATGGACGACACTCGATTCCAGAGACGGGAGCTGCCCTGGGAAGACCTCAAGGGTGGCCGGGACCCACGGTTTCTTCAGGATTCACCGGTTTCCACCTGTGGGCACTAATGCCTGTGCCTGGGTCCTGGCAGCGCTCCGGCACACTCCTGGCTTTCACCTTTGTAGTAGGATCCCCGCAGACCAGGCCCACGACAAACACAGTCTCCAGCAGGCCGGGCAAAGGAAGGGCGCAGTGCCAGGCAGTGGTGCAGCTGCCCATCAGGAAGAGGCCGACTCCTCCCGGTGGAACTGGGCAGGGAGAAGGCAGTGAGAATGTGATCTTGGGGTGGTGGAGGCACTCAGGAAAGGAAAAGGGAAGATTAAACTTCCACACGGCAGCAATGGCAGAACCAAAGGTCGCTGTGACCTCCATGAAGGCTCGGATCCAGGCTGGCAGCTTGGCCAGGACGGGGCCAGGAGTATCACTGGTCCAGGAGCACTGTGCTGGCAGAATCCCTTTGGTGCCTGACGGCCCTGCCCTCATGGGACAGGAGGCTAGAGCTCTGAGTTACAGCTGCCTTCCTGACAGCACGTTTCCATGGCATCTCCCTCCCCTTCCTCAGCCTCAGGTGGGAGACAGGGCAGGCAACCCCCTTTCCTCTTCTCCCCTTCTCCAGCCCCCATCTGTCCAGCCAGCTGGAGGCAGCCAGGCTTGCTGTGGACTGGCTGATGGCCTTCTTGCAGAGCTTCTCCACCAGATCCTTCCCTGGGGACGCCTGGTCTGGGGCTCTGGGCTAAAGGTGAAGGGGATGACCCATGAGGACTGTTGCCTGCCTGGACCTCTCCCTGGGAAAAGACCCTGCCAGGCCTTGGAGCCAGACCCGGAGGTTTTGTTGGCCAACGCAAGCAGCAGGGGTCCAGATGACATCACAGGGAAGAACAAGAGGGTGTGGAGGGGCATCTGAACCTCCGGAGGGGACAGGAGATGCTGGACCAGCAGGAAAGGCCCAGCTGTGTCAGTGCTAGGAGTGATGCCACTCCCACTCACCACCCACTCTCCTCCTACTCTCTGCAACACTGGGGACACTCACAAGGGTGTGATCCAAGTAGGCCATCATCTTCTGCAGCTCTGGAGACCTATGTTGGGGAAGGGCATACCTGCCATCGCCACACACCTGCAGTTGCAGCCCGGCTTTGGGCTCTGATGGCAGCAGACGGCAGGTAGGGGCCCAGCTGCTGGAGGGAGGGCCGGCCACGTATCACAGCCCAAAAGATGAGCACTACTTACCAGCCTAGGTTGTCAGAGAAGTTGATCCCTTCACTCATCTTTCCTCCAGCCACAGAGAGGAGCAGGGCCCCTATCACCCAGCCTCTCTCCTGGTCACAGCCTGGTAAGAGACACCCAGCCCAGAGGTGCTGAGCCAAAGCTTAGATGACACTCTTAACGTTGCCAGCTGCCTCCCCACCAAGGTCTCAGGCCCAAGCCTCAGAGTTACGCCTGCACCTGAATGCACCTGGAACACGAGAGTGGCACCTGCTCCACCTGGTGTGTGCTCTTGGGTTCCTGGAATATGTGGAGGCAGAGGGCGTCTTCAGAGATGGATTCAGGGTGCTGGGTCTCGGATCTGCTGGTAGCTTTGTGTTTCCTGGCCAGGGGACAGGAGAGCCTTGCAACCTGGGGCTTTGGGGAAATCCTCTGTAGTCAGGAACTGGGAGCGGTGGGGATGAGGAGCTAGAAGCCTGTCCTGACTCGATGAGCACAAGAGCTCCCAGAGGACTCGGTGGCACTGTCCTCGTGAGTGAGAGGGCCAGCTGATGGGCCACTCGCCTTCTTTCTGGCTGCCAGGTGGCCCAGCAGGCTGCCGTTCTCCCAGTGGGCGCGGACCTGGCGCAGGGACTCGTAGGATGGGAAGAAATAGACTAACCCTCCAGGAACCACACCACACAAGTTACAGAGGAGGCCACACACACCTTGTCTATCTAAGGAAGGAAAAGAGGGCGCCCCCACAGAGCAACCCCTCAGCCACCCACAACAAATGGCATCTTAACTTGAGGCTCAGAACTAAGGAGAGGGACCCAAGGCATGACTACAGCCAGTGGGGAGGACTCGAAGGTGCCACCTCCCACCAAACACACCCAGGTGCTGCTGCTGACTGTGCCTTTCTGACACACGTCACAGCACTAGCGTCCCGGGGGGCCTTCCTATTGCCCTGGCACTGAGTCCTCCCTTCTTCACTCTGGGGTCCTGATGGGCACCACAATGACAGGCACTGCACACCCCAGGCATGCCACAGGAGATGCCCCCCAGTCCCCACATTCCTGCCTATGGCAAGAGAGCCAAAGGGAATGAGCAGCTTTCTCATGCGTGGCATCCTCAGGGGATGCCTGGAGGTTTTAAGAAAATTTAGCAGCCTAAGGGTTGAGGGGTGGAAAGCTCACGCTTTCCTCCATAATCATCTAGATTGACACTGCTTATCCTGTACGGCTCTGTAGTGGATGTCCCAGTGCAGATTCTCAAACACCTGAAAATACTCAGGGTGTGCCAGAGTGCCCCTGCCCTGGAAAACTCTTTCCTGCCCAAGCCCAGGCTGTGGCAGGGTGAGCTGGCTGGGGCTGACCATCTGAGGCAACTCTCTCTGCTGGAACGTGAATTCCAGGGGCTGATTGGAAATCCTTCTGCAGATGCAAGGGGCAGGATGCTGTCTGGAGGGATCACGTGATCGGTGAGACCCTGGGAAGAGCTGGAAGCTGAAGACGCAGGTGTTTTGCAAGGCACAGTTCAGGAAGGGCATTTCTCCATTTTCCAGCATAGGAGCAGCACTTGGCAGTGCTCACCCACTGGCCATCACCGCTGTCATACTGGGCAGCGGGCAGCAGGGAGCAGAGCAGGAGAGCCTGGATGAACACACGAAGGGTGAGGCTCCCATCCCAGGGTCTCCTTCGCCCCCGTGCCTGGTCACAGTATGAGGTTACATGCAGACAACAGGGGCCAGAACCTGAACACTGGCCCGTCCCACCCTGGGCGTGGCTCCTCTCCACAGGAAAACCCCACTACAGTGTTCAGCTTCCACCCCAGCACAGGCTAGCAGTTGCTGCCAGAAGGCAGACACCTGGAGACCAAGAGCGCAGCATCAGGACCCTGTGACCTCCCAAAGGGCTGGGGGAAAGGAAATGGGAAGTCTGGGCTAAGGTACAGCAAGTACACGTGAACAGAAAGAAGAGGTCAAAGAAAAGGCTGACGGCAAGTTAACAGAAACGTGGTGAACGACACGTGGTACAGGCAGCCTCGTTTAAACCACGCTCAGGAACAGCAAAGGAAATCCGGCAAATTCGCACAGTCATTCTCAACCCTGGCCGTGCAGCAAAATTGTCAGTGGAAATGTAAAGACATACACACGGCCAGGCCCCAGCCCCAGCCACTAATAAGAATCTCCAGCCCTTCACCTGTTAGACTGGCAAAAATCCAAAAGTAACCACTCTGCGGAGAAACAGGCATCCCTGGACATTGCTGGTGGGATACAGAACAGAACAATTCTTGTGGAGGGCAATCAGATGGCAGTTAACAAATTAAACATATTTACACGTTTAAACCCAGGAATCCCATAGGAGTCTACTGAGAAGATACAGGCCACAAATACCAAACAGCATACGCTCCGCGTGTTTCCCTGTAGTCGTGTGCCTGCCTATCCAGAGGGTACCGGCTGAATGAGCTCTGCTACATCTGCCTGTCGGAGAACACGCAGCCCACTAGGGGAGCAATGGCCTGGGCAGCTAAGATGCCTTCCATATCAATCAAGCTTGTCCAACCCATGGCCATGGGCTGCATGCAGCCCAGGACATCAACTTTCTTAAAACATGCAATTTTGTGTGTATGTCTGTGAATTTTAAAAATCTCGTCAGCTCTCATTAGCGTTAGTGTATTTTATGTGGGCCCCAAACAATTCTTCTTCCAGTGTGGCCCAGGAAAGCCAAAAAGATTGGACACCCCAACATAAATAAAGCAGGAAAAGAAAAAAATGAAGACATATACATGCTTTTCTTGGGGAAAAAAGAGAAATACTGGAATGACAGGCCGGTGGCTAGTAAAACTGATGATTCTCTCTGGAGACGGGGAACAGGCTGAAGAGAAGGGTCGGAGTGAGGCTTTCCTGAATAGGTTTTTTTATATAGTTTTGACTTTTGAACCACAGGAGTAGTTGCATACTTTAAAACTATAATTAAATCAAAAAATTTTAAAAAGCAAATTCTAAAACTGAAAACAAAATGAAACAAAAACAGCCTAGCTATCTCTCAAACTAACAACAGAAGCACACCAAGAAAAGCCTGGTT